GCCCTATGAAGGCGCGGAGCCGGCTGCCAGTCCCGGGCAGCGGAGCCAAGTGGGCGCGGGGGGAGTGGCCGGGAGCCCGGCACCCACCGGCGCCCCGAAGCCTGGCTCTAAAGCGCCGCGCTCCGCGCCGTGCCCGCAGTGAGCGCGGGGAGCCATGGCCGCCGCAGCTCAGTACCTGCCCCGCAGCACCGCCCTGCTGCACCCCGACTCCGACCGCCTGCACCAGGGCACCACCTACCGCGAGGTGCAGAAGATGATGCACCACGAGTACCTGCAGGGCTTGGCCAGCGGCTCCGGCCACCCCATGAGCCTCACCCACCACCAGTGGCTGCCCAGCGCCGGCACCGACTGGGGCAGCGGCTCCCACCTGGGCCAGGCCGAGCACGGCAAGGGCAGCGTGCAGGGGGCGGGCCGGGAGGAGCTGCCCGGCGCCTTCCACCCCCGCTCCCACCTGGTGCACCAGCAGGCGCCCGGCAGCCACCCGGGCGCCTGGGCGCAGGGCAGCGGGCACCACCTGGCGCCCATGTCCCCCACGTCCAGCAGCCACCAGCCGCTGCTCTACTCCCAGTCCGCCTACACGAACCTGAACGGCATGCTGGGCCCCCAGGCGCCGGCCCTGCACCACGGCCTGCGGGACCCCCTGGGCCACGAGGAGGCGGCCGGGCTGCACGACCCCCAGCTGGAGGCCTCCCCGCAGCACCTGGGCCACCCGCAGGAGCACTCGGACGAGGACGCGCCCAGCTCCGACGACCTGGAGCAGTTCGCCAAGCAGTTCAAGCAGCGGCGGATCAAACTGGGCTTCACCCAGGCGGACGTGGGCCTGGCCCTGGGCACCCTCTACGGGAACGTCTTCTCGCAGACCACCATCTGCCGGTTCGAGGCGCTCCAGCTCAGCTTCAAGAACATGTGCAAGCTCAAGCCCCTGCTCAACAAATGGCTGGAGGAGACCGACTCCAGCACGGGCAGCCCCACCAACCTGGACAAGATCGCGGCGCAGGGCCGCAAGCGCAAGAAGCGCACCTCCATCGAGGTGGGCGTGAAGGGCGCCCTGGAGAACCACTTCCTCAAGTGCCCCAAGCCCTCGGCCCACGAGATCACCTCGCTGGCGGACAGTCTGCAGCTGGAGAAGGAGGTGGTGCGGGTCTGGTTCTGCAACAGGCGGCAGAAGGAGAAGCGCATGACGCCGGCCGGGGTCCCGCACCCGCCCATGGAGGATGTTTACGCGCAGGCGGAGACCTCGCCGCTGCACCACCCGCTGCAGAGCTCGGTGCAATGACTGGGCGGCGGGGCCGGGGGCTGAGGGCGCCGGGCAGGGGCAGGGGCAGCGCTGGAGTTTACAGTGGGGGCCCAGGAGCGAGGGACTGTGGGCAGCAGGGACCAAGCCGGGCCCGGCCAGGGAGCCCGAACCCCGCCAGCGGCCCCTAGCCCCTGCCCGGCGGGAAGCCGCGCTCGGGACTTTGTTTCTGCCGCTTGGTTTCGGGCCCTGGATGCCGAGACTCGCCGGGCGGCGCGTGGAAAACGCTCGTTAATTTATTCCTCAGACTGGTTCGCACCTGAATTTGTCTCTAATTTAACTCGCTGTATTTATTTGACTTCCAAAAATACCGCGCGCTCCAGAGCCCCGCGGCTCTGCAAACGCCGCGAGAGGAGAACTAGCCAAAGGTTTGAGATCTAATTTATTCTTCGTTTGCTCCCGTGTCACTGACACTGTCTGCGGGGGGAGCTCCGCGGCCCGGTCCCCCACCCCCGCTTCAGGCTGGGACGGGTCGGGGAGGGCCGAAGCTCCCCCCGCACCCACCGCGGGCCCCTGGACCGGTTCCGATGGCACTTATCTCCCCCTTCTCCTGGGGGGCTGCTGCGCTCCCCGTGCCCGGGGGCCCCGGACCGCCCCGTGGAGACTGCGGGCTCTTGGCTTCCCGGGGAGCGGGGAGTTTCCCCAGAGGGACAGGAGTGTCCCCGGCTCCCCACGCCCCGGGCCCGGCCCTGCGGGGCCTGGGAGGGACGCTGGGGAGCCGGAGGGGGGCGGGAGTTGCGGTCACTTCCCCGGCCCGGCTGTAAATATGTGAGATATGTACACACGTGTCCGCCGTCCCGGATCCCCGCTCCTGCCCCAGCCGGTTTTTTACACGGACTGATCCCGAGAGGCTATTTTAATATTGTTTCCCGTCCCGTTTCTATTTATTTCTAACCGCGTTCGGCTCATTCCGCAGCGTTGGGTTCGGAGGTTTGTTTTATTTTTTAATCGCAAAAAATATGTAGCCCGCGAAGTTACGTTTCTATTTATGTTTATAGTAAATATTTTTATTACGTACATAAACCATTCCCCCAGGAACCGGTCTCGTGTCGTCTTTGCAGGCTGCTGGAGTCAGCTCGGACCCTGCCCGCCCGGGGAGCTGGCGAGGGCTTGGAGTTAGGGGAGCTGGGTTGGGCACCAACCCCGGCCAGGGCCAGGGCCAGGAGGGGGCAGGGACACTCCCTTGTCCTGCAGCCCAAGCCAGGCGGAGCTGCCCGCTCCTTCAGTCCGGCCAAGGTGGGCTCCGTCGCTTCAGCGGACTTCTTTTTTTTTCCCCATCCCCGTAGAAAGTTTGAGGCAAGTTGGGATTTTCCTTTGCAAGGACTATTCCCACCGCCTCGCCTGGCTCTGTAGGAACCAAGCCCCTGTTCCCAGCAGCAAGGGCGTCCCGTGCTCTCCCTGCATGACAACGGGGCAGCTTCAGAGAGACCGGGACTGCAATTGTTTAAACAAAGGCAAATAAACTCCACTCGGGGCAGGGCACCTGCGGGACCCGGGCACCTGCCGGGCTGATCGCTTGGCATTTAAAGTTGTAGGGGAGAGCCGCTGATTCCGCGTGGGGAATTTAATCCTAAATCATGATTTCGGGTGTTCACTTTTGGTCCAAGGGGAATGTGGCCCATTTGAGATTCAGAGTCCATGTTTACTGGCTGCATCCTTCTAAAATCTTACAAGTCACATCCCGTAACGGCCACGACTTATAGGCAGCGTTTTGCCAAAATTCTTCTCCATTCTGCAGTGTGTGCCACTTGCTATTGATACTACAGGAGCTGTGGACTCCATAAATAGGTAAATGTAAAATCAAGATCTTTAAACAAATGTGTGGAAGCTCTTAAACTTACAAGGGTCTCTGGAGGAGATGAGCTGTGCACAGGGATCTCAGGAAAAGTATAAATCCTGTGCTGCAATATGTATCACATGCCCCCAGCTTCGGGGGAAGAATCTGATCTAGTTTGTTCTTCATACGCTGCATTTTTTCAGGGTTTTTTTTTTTCATTCCAAAGGGTTCCCTATACAGAAGGTAGAATTACAAAAAAAATGTCTTGCAAATATCTTCCCCATCATATTCGCAGTTAGTGCAGTGAGAGAGATGTGCAGAAAGGGCCAAATGTGCCCGTGTTACCTGAGAGAGAAAGGGAAACCCGCCTTTGGTTTTTTGAAGCGGAAGCCACTGGTCTAGTAACGTACATTTTACCTGAAAAAGGAGGAAAAAAATTCTCCTTATTTTTCATTTATCAGAGACTTAAAGCTGAACGTTCATTATTAATTTATTTTAGAAGTAAAAGACCTGTAATTTTATTTTCAGATTCAGCTTTCTAATTTTTTGTCCTGTTTAATATTATCTTTGCTTTCAGATCACTCAACCATGTGAACAATCTATTACTCACCTTGTTTACAATTGTTACAAATACTGTTCACCAACATTCACTATTCCTGTTAATTACACGTCTGGGAAACTCCATCTTCATGGCTTAGGCATTTATATTGTGTGTCTGCACACACTTTTATGTACACACGCAGAGCTTTAAAATGTATAATACCAGTGAAAATAGCATACATTGTATTTGGGGTGCTAGGATAGTCCACTGAGATTAATATGCCTTTTTGGAATATAAAATACAAGCAGAAAATGTTTTTTAAAGAATTTTCTCACCTTACATTACTGAAAATAATAAATATGCAACAATGTAATACAAGAAAATTCCATCTTAGCACTCAAGCTGTGCTCTCATGGTTTTTGATGTCATCAGATCCTTCTATATAGTATCCCATCCTAATATTTATGCCTATACCAGGGTCTAGAGAATACTTACTTATTTCATTCTCTGTATTTCTAGAAGAATTAACTTGTATCTTTTTTAAGTCTGCTTTCTCTCAGAATTTGTGAGGAAAAGTCACATAAGTGGATTCTTTTCACTTTCACAGATCTTTTGTTTCCAGCAGCATTTGTATGTTGAGAGAACTTTTGAAGCCTGTGTCTGTGGAACTCACACACTGGAGAAATGTTTAATTGCATAAAGTGGGTAAAATGTCAGATACTTAATTTGCTAGAAAACTTCCTATCCATAGTCTATAATATTTGACACATTGCTTCTTGACTCTGGATACATTTTACATTTTGTGAAACAGCGGGTGTAAAGGGAATTTTTGTTGATGATCGGGCATTACTGTATGTCAGTTCACAGAATTATTTTTTTAGGTGTGAATAATGCAGTTTGCACCCAACATGAAAAATCTTCTGTTTTCTACAAAAATCTTCTGCTTGGTTTTATTGTATTTTTGTGCCTTCAGTGTTTTGTTTGCAAATGCATTATTGCTCAGGCAAATGTCACAATCAGCCATGTTACTATAAATTAATTATCCTATTTTCTCTGTCACTTTCAAAAATGTAGTTATTGTGTAGTGGCTAATACAAAGGATATTAATAGCTACAGCTTTCCTACTCTTATCAACTGTCTCTTTGGATTTTTTTAATTTAAAAAAGTCACGCGGGTGGACCATTATCAGACTAAATATCATGTTTGACACCCATAAGTTAGCACACCAGCAAATGGGTTCACCTTGCAGTACAAATAAGCTGGCAAACACTGCAGAAGACTACTAATAACTCCTCTATAGCAACAACATAACACAATATTGTCTAAAAGATTCAGCACACATGATTAATAAAGCATTTTGTCAGCTTTGATTACATGCTCATGTTCTTAATTTCTTTCTGCTTATGTGACTGTTTCACAAAAATGCAGGGACTTGAAGCTCAGCAACATGAAATGGGGTGTGGAATTCTGAATACAAAAAATGTTTGTGTGTGTTTATAAATTTAGAATTTGCTGAGCGTATGCAATGGATTGGATAGTGTACGCTCATCAAAAATAAAGTAACAATAATTATAAATGCATGCAAACCAGGTTATCATCCAAAATACATTATGAAACTATGGAAACATTTCCAAATTTCAAATCCTTTTATGGCTTTTATTTTTTCTCTGTTTCACACCCAGACACTTGCTTTTACTTTTTGTAACACTGAGGCCATTTTTAGAAACCTTTTGGTGATACCCAGTCAGTTTTTTTTTTTTAAGTCATAAAGGAAAAGAAAGAGATAAGTAAAAGAGAGAGAGAAACTCCCCTGTGTACTTGCGGGAAGTCTTTCCCGTTTGCATTTGGGGATTAACAGTACAGAATTGAAGCCAGCGCCTGTGTATATCAGGAGCAATTTCGATAGTCTCTCTTCTTTTAACTAGCCTATGTAGCAAACAGTATGCCATTGCTATTTAAAAAAGAGGGGTCAATTTTCACATTTCATTCCCATAATGGATAAGATGTGAAGTGAGTTCTGCTGAGGACGAACACCCTTGGGTTGTTTGGTTTGTCAGAATATATCAGGCACTTGTAGCCCCACTGCATTAGCGCTCTCATGCTATTGCACAGAAAAAATAAAAGATGCTTTATTTGTGCAATTCTATAATGCTCAATCCTTTTAAAAACCAAATACTCCAGGGTTTGCCTCGTTTAGAAGAACAGTTACTTTTCTCAGGCCAGGAGTAAATAACAATATGGTGTTGGGGGATTTTTGTGGAGGTGTTTTTGTTTTGGTTTTGGTTTTATTTTTAGCCTCAAGTGTGTGTGTTAACATGAGCATTCAGTCTATTACATGGACATAACAGGGGTAAAGATGGGGAGGTAGTTTTAGTAGGTCAGAAAAAGTACAATTGTGAGAACACTGTCCTCTACCACGAGGTATAAAGGGAACTTAGACTCTGCTCCCAGGGGCAGTGGTTGGGCCCAGTACATGCCCAGAAAACAGAAGGTGTTTGCATTGCACCTGCATTCAAATTCAGTTCCAGTCTACATAGGTTTGTCTACTGCGCCCATCAGTGGTGCTGGAACTAGGGGGGCTGAGGGGCTGCCACACCTCCTGGCTTGAAGTAATAATAAAAAACACCAAATACCTGGTTTCTAGCAGCAGCACCCCCACTATACAAATTGTTCCAGCCCCCCTGGTGCTCATCACCGGACTAGTCAGGCTTTTAGTTAACATGAAACTGCATTATGAGAAATTCCCCAATTCACCAAGGAATCAATCCTTGCGTTGGAACTCCAGGTTGTTTGGTTTCAGAGGAGTAAAGGCCTAATGCATCTTGCCTTCCTCACAGGCGTAGCCCCAGTGGGTGAAAGCCGGAGTAACGGGGCTCTGTGCTGCCAAGGGGTGGTAGGGCCGGGAGGTAAATTCCAGTGGCTCACCCAGGGGCTGAAGTTGTAGCCACAATCCCTCAGTGCCACTTGCCAGCTGGGACAGTTGGAGCCAAGTGAATATGTCCTGGTCACCAGCCCACCCCTTCCCCAGCCTTTGTGCTGCTCAATGCACAGCAGTGCAGGGAGCCTGATGAGCCAGGAGGGAAGGTCACGCTCGTCTGTGAGCGGAACAACCTGCCATGATTATCTAGCCAGCGTGGAGGGGGAAGTGGTTCCCAAAAGCCGTTGCCCTAGATATTGTTACCAGAGATTTCAGGGAGAGAGACGGGCTCTGTTCTGTGAGGCAGGGGAAATTTTCAGCAGAGTGGTGCGTGTTTTCTCTTCTGTCTTTAATAAGGTAGGAAACTGATGGGAGAGCCTGCTGGTGACAATGGATGCTTTGCCCGCCTGCCTGTCTAGCCAAAGGTCAGGGGGCGTCAAGAACAACATCATCTTACTCAGGATTCCTGTCTAAGAATGTTATGGCAGCAACCTGCAAAGGGAGGAAGACCTTGTCTGTGAGGAATAAACCTGTCCTGTGCTAATCACACGCATACAGCCAGGGAAGTGACTGGAGAGTGTTGCAACACGGGGAAATTTGCCTTATTAGACACTCTTTGTTATTGATGCCACAGAAACCTATATTATCTTAGCAACAGAGTCCTGCTATGCCACTAACTGTAGGTCCTGCCTAGATCCAGTGCACAATGGGGCCTGATCCTGCTAAGCTCTTGGTAGAACAAGCTGCCACTCGGCAAACTAAAGCAGCAGCAGTAGCAACATAATCCCTGCGTGGGTCAATTCAGCCCTGGTATGAAACTTTGAAGGAGTGAATGACAGTTCCTCCACTGGCCCACTCCGGCTCCCATTGAAGGATTAGGCTGTGCGTGACTGATTATACATTTAACTCTGTGTTATTGAGGCAGTGGTTCTCAACCAGGGGGACGCGTACCCCTTGGGGTATACAGAGGTCTTTCGGGAATATGACAACTCATCTAGATATTTGCCTAGTTTTACAACAGGCTACATAAAAAGCACTAGCAAAGTCAGTTCAAACTAAAATTTCATACAGACAATAACTTTATACGGCTCTATATACTATACACTGAAATGTAAGTGCGATATTTATATTCCAATTGATTTATTCTATATGGTAAAAATGAGAAAGTACGCAGTTGTTCAGTAATAGTGTGCTGTGACACTTCTGTATTTTTATGTCTGATTTTGTAAGCAAGTAGGTTTTAAGTAAGGTGTAACTTGGGGGTATGCAAGACAAATCAGACTCCTGAAAGGGATACAGTGGTCTGGAAAGGCTGAGAGCCACTGCTCTAGGGCACAGAATGGCTAATTTTACGGGTCTTTTTTTCCATCAGTAAATTCTGTGGCAGTTGATGGCAAAACTTCCATTGTTCAATAGAAGCTGGATTATACCCTGTAGTTGAGTCCTTATAATTTTCCAGGATTGTGCTGGGATCATGTATCAGAATTGAAGCCAGTAATTATAAAAACATTTAATTTATCTGCCTCTTTTTTTTTACAATTATGTAAATTGAAATTAGCAAGTAATAATAAGCAACAGACGCAATTGCTTTTGCTTGTAGTTTGTTATGTGGGCTAGAGAAACAATGCATGTCCAGCTGTGGCACTCATGTGTGCTCTGCATCTCTTTGCCACCACATTGGTGCCTCCCTGCTGCCATGAGAATACCATGTAGGCTGACTGCCCTCTATTGGTCCTTGAAGGGGAAGAGAATACAGGAGAGCAGATTAGCTCTGATTTTGTGTGCGTGTGTGTGTGAGTGAGTGAGCGAGAGAGAGAGAAAATTAAAAGGTACACCAGGCAATTCGAATGTCTGGATTTGGTAACTTCTCTGCTCACAAGGGCCTGACCCAACAAACGCTATTCACATAAGTAATCCTACTGAAGCCAACAGGATTACCCTGGCTTTACTCCAGTGTAAAAGAACTAAAATCGGGCCATATTGTATACATAAAAAATTCAGAGAGATACAAATCCCAAACCTTTGATCCAGAGTCCCATAGAGCATTGCAAAGTTGGGGTACAGCTCTAGGATCAAACTCTGCGTCTCAGGCTGATTTTTAACATTTGTTGGGGTATATAAATGCGCACACACTCGCTCTCTCTTAAATTTAGCCAATTGTAGCTAATCAAATGTTTTCCTTTGTGATTCATGTAAACTCTACCTGTGAAAGTTCCCAGTAGTTTCAATTAGAACTAATAAGACCAGGCTTCTTTGTGTAAGTAATCATGCCAGGTCTGGGAATTATGAGGTTGCAAAGGCAGCATTAAAGCATATGATATTGTACACAAGAAATAATGTTCATGTTAAATGAGACTCCATGAATAATTCATGCAGCTTGATATCACATTGTTTTTGGTGTTAGTCAAAATCAGTTATTTCTTGTAAGCCGTGCAAAGGGGGTATTTGTTACTTACACTTGTGCTATAGGTTCACAAACTGCTGCAAATACTATTGGGAAGTGTGCTGCCTATGTCACAACATTTTTAAAAAATCATACTTTTAAGATGTTTTCTTCATTTTTCTATTTGGCATCTTCATTTCAGAGGCCTCTGGGGAATAAAGACACCTATGTTCCAGCTTCAGCACCCAATTCATTTGCCTTTTTATGAACTGTCCTATTTTCTTCATTGATTTCACAGAACTCTACAGATAGTGATTCACTCCTGATAACATTTCCCATATTATCCTTCAAAGTCCTGTTATTATTTAATCCCCACAGAGTAGCTGCTCTGTGACAATGATCTTTGCAGCCGCAGAATCGTATTTCTTTTATCATTTTCAAAACTGACCTTTCTGCAAGTAATTTGGGTGAGATTAGGGTTAGTATCTCAGGGCCCTGTCTCGAGCAGCTGGAACCACTTAATCCCGAGTGTGTCTGAATTATATGAATGAGTAAATGCGCAAAATTCTGTTTCTACATATCATCATATTTGTACGTGTTTAAATACAACCTGCTAATCTGGAACAGGGTCTTCTCACTGGGGGCTTGCTCCAAAGCCAGTGGAAGTTTTCATAGTATTTCCATGGAAATTTGGCCTGTTTGTGGTTCTTCATCACCTCATGTTCATTTCTCTCACCCACACAGGGGACACAAATTTTGGGAGATGTGGTTGAAAATCCTCCTCAATTTAGGGGCTGAGAATAAAGAGCCATTTAAAAACCTCATTCAATTTTAATTTGCAACGGGTCAATTAAAAAAAAGAAAGAAAGAAAGAAAATGGAAGCTATAGACTTGTACGTTTGCATTCTTTTGTCCTGATATCAATAACGATGATCATTGTATTAATTTAAATGGCCTGCCCATTGCATTGGGCTTCTTATTTTTCTATTGAATAATTATTAAAGATTTTGTTTAAAAGAATGTGGATTTTTTTTCTGTTTCACCAACACAATTATCAAGGAGCAAATAGAGTAAAGACAAAACAAGGGAGGGTTTTAAAATGAGTCAACAAACGTATGGGGCCCAGAAGGGAGTGTGGTATGGAAAAGAAGTGTGATCTAGTGCTTGGAACAAGAAACTGGCAGTCTATCTGAATTTTATACCATGCCTATCACCAGAGCATCAAGGCTTCTGGATTCTATTCCAAGTTTTGCTATTAACTTGCTGGGTGATCTTGGGCAAAGCACTTCTCTCTTTCCTTCCAAACCCTGCACTAAAATGACGCCATAATCCTTGTCCACCTCACACAGCACAATGTGGAACTCATTGCCAGGGGGATGTTGTGAAGGGCAAAAGTGTAACTGGCTTCAAAAAAGAACTAGATCAGTTCATGGAGGATGGGTCCCTCAGTGGTGATTAGCCAGGCTGGGCAGGGATACAACCCCATGTTCTGGGTGCCCTAAGCCTCTGACTGCCAGAAGCTAGGACTGGACGACAGGGGATGGATCACTCAGTGAAATGCCCTGTTCTGGTCACTCCCTCTGAAGCACCTGGCTCTGGCCACTGTCAGAAGACAGGATACTGGGCTAGATGGACGTTGGTCTGACCCAGCATGGCCACTCTTATGTTGCTATGACATGTTCTTAGCGCCTGGGAGCCCAGTCATGGACCAGGATCCCACTGTGCTAGGTGCTGAACACACAACAAACACACAGTCCTCTATCTAAATAAACAATCCATCCCAAATAAGCCCCCATATCATACTGTACAGCCCCTAGAGGCACTGAGGCGGGTTTGGTAACTTTATAAGCTTTGTGAATGCAGCTGGAGTCACCAGAACCCCACTGCTCAAAACAGAAACAAGCCTCTTGGGGAGCGCTGTGAAAATACCTGGCAGGTTCCCCGCCCTCCAGCCAGCCTTCTCTAGCAGGAGCCTGGCTTCTTCAGCCAACCCAGGCAAACGAGACGCTCCGTGGATTTGCTGTGCAGGAGTAATTGTTACTGTCGCCTTCCTTGCTGGGGCTGGGGCTGGGGTGAGACTCACTCACTGCTGCTCCCAGCTCATTCGGAACCGGACTGAAACCTCATGGGATTTATTCCAGCTTGCAGAATTCTTAGGCTCTTTGTTTTCCTGAAATTGCTTCATTTATCCTCCACAGCTACATGCAATTTTGTCTTCATACAGAGACTATAAAAACCACTGAACTCATCACTTGCAGCACCTGCAGCTTCCAATGCTGGCGAGCTTCTGGACTGTTTCTCCTGAAAGGTCCTGCATTCGCCTATGGGAGGAACTGCATGTTCCCTGGTTTTTGTCAGCACACTGACCGGCTCCTCAGTAATTCTCCTGCCACCTGAGTCCTGGTTACTGGCCATAGCACATCCTAACCTCTGAGCCCCTACGCACATGCCTAAGGACTGCAGTAGTGGCTCCCCCCCCGGGTTGCACACAGTCTTCTCTAAGCCACTGGAGCAGAACTCGCGGGAGCCCCCACCCCTGCAGCCCAGAGACTGCTCCGAATTCCCCACCAGAACGACAAAGTGAAACTCGCCTGAGGTCACACTTGCTCATGCCAAGGGTGAATTTGACCTTGAAGGTGCTTTATATTCAAAGGACCAATCAGTGAGCTCCCCGAGGTTCCCGCTAAGGCTGGCTCCCTTGAACAGTTAACGGAGCCCACAGTTGGATGTGTCTCCTGATGCTCAGCTGACGCTCTCCTGCCATCACCAGCAGCTGTCACAGCTTGTACATAACCAGCTGGGATTGCAACCTCAGGACTGGCCCTCTGGCCAGTGCAGCTCATTGGATGTGGGGCTGTACGCCACATAAGGGGTACTGACCATTTAAGTCTGGAGGAGGCAGACTGGGAAGCCGGTCACCTCATTCCAAGGCTGAAGGACTGGGGTGAGCGAAAGATAGCCCTGAGGGTAGTTAGTGTCGGGGAGGGGGAAGGAGTAGGAAAATCCAGGCCATTGTTCCTTTAAAAGCCCAGGTCCAGGCTCCTTGTAGAGAGGGCAGGGCCCGGTTCCCTTCTCCCAGCCAGCTCAGACAGGTGTTTGGAGTTAGACCCAACTGCAGAGGGTCAGGGAGTGGGCAGGTGACTGGGCCGGTAAATCACAAAGGAGGCTGCAAGCCAAGTCAAGGACAGCCAGGGTTGCAGCCCCAGGGGGAGGCTATGAAAACCTTGACTAGAAGGGGAGAATCTGCAGGCTGAGGAAGCCAAGCCACTGTCCTGAGAAGGAGTGTGGAGCCCTGAACTCCAATGGGGGGGAGGCTGGAGGAGCTCTTTTGACTGCCAGATGTTGTGCAATAAATTAGCCCTCAGGAGAGGGAGAATTCTGGTTAAAGACTCTGACACTTGAAGGGAAACTGAGGCAGGGACTACCGTAGCACTGGGGGGCACTGCTCAGAGACTGCATTCCTCCTATTCCATCATCTCCAGGCTGCTGGGTGCCAGGCTGCACTGGAGGGACAAATTAGAAGAGACTTCCTGCTGCTCTAAATTGGGCTGGCTGGTCATGGCCCCAGATTGCCAGAGCCTACGAGCAGGCCAGTTGGGCCATCTTTCCACTGGCCACACCCCAACAGCAAGGTGGCAGAGCTGGGCTGAGTTCAGCAGGGCAGGTCTGCAGGCTTCCTGCTGGCTCTTCAG